GTGTTCCTTGCAATTGCCTGCTCAGTATGCTTTGAATTGACAGTCTTTATAGTAATATGCAACCTAGGGAGGTAGTGTAGCACTATGGAGGATGTTGATGCATTTAAGAAGTCTCCTTTCTTCTTCATATTGTGTTGGTTGATTGTGTGAATTAGTGATCTTAGGACTCTTGAATTGTGTGGTGATGTGGACTCTCTACTTGTCATGGACTCCTGTATCATGTTTTTGAAATAAAAGATGCTCGAAAATGTGCTTTAAAATAACGTCTCCCATGCGAATAGGGCGAAAGTGTGTAAGGGGAGACGGGAATCCGTTCCCAATTTCCACCTACTACCTCCAGCCCCCTTACATGTCTTTCCCCCGCATGAGGCTTGAGACATCCGCTCCTGGCATGGCCGGTAAGAGCAGGGCTCCCGCAAAACCTCTGCTAGGTGGGAGCCCCCATTTTTTGAAAAGCAGGTTGGGACCCTTGAAAAAAAAGAAAAAAAAAAACAGAAAACAAGCAAAACAGAAAGAAAAGGGGTTCCAACCATCTTCAAGAAGAAAATAGAGCACCTTAAAAAGGTGAGTCCATGATCTTTTGTTTTTGAGAGTCCATTCGTCCATGATTCATTTGTCCTCTGTTCACTATTTGCCATGATGCCGACTCAAGACTAGCGTTCTCGCCGAAGAAGCTATAAGATGACTTGTGCGTCGGTTGACCTCGTAAGCTGCTAAATGATCTAGGAAATCCTCTACCTATGATCGGGGTTGTTGGTTGCTATAGAGGTCTGGAGAGTTGCATTGGTTTAAGTTAGGTTTGCTTGGGGACAAGCAAACGGTTAAGTGTGGGGGAGTTTGATAGACCAATAATTACACATGTTTTTACCCCTATTCTTGAGCCGTTTGAGAGGTTGACTCTCGTGTTTTAAGCCAATTTCACACGAGGTTGTGTGTTTATGTCGTATTTCAGGACCCGACGTTGGAATCGAGGCGAGGAAACGAGTTTTGGGTCGAAAGGAGCGAAGTTGGGTCGAAGTGTGTTGCAGGAGGAAAATACCCGGTTGTGGGCTCAAATACCCGACCGGGTATTTATTATTTTGGCACCCGTGAGAAACAGAGGGGGGCCCGGGCAGGAGCTAAAAACCCCCGGTCGGGGATTCTTGGGACAGACCGGGGATTTTCCCCTGACATCAAAACGTGCGTTTCATTTATACCCGGTCGAGACTCAAAATACCCGACCGCGTATTTCGACCGGGTATCGCGACAGGCAGCTTTTTAAAGGAAAAGAAGGCAAAAAATCAGGGGTTCCGAGTTCTAGAAAGATAGAGCGATTCCTAGAGAGAGAAAGCGACGAACAAGAGTTCCCAAGTGCCATAGCTTGATCTTCATCACCATTGGAGCCCGGCTTGAGCTTGGAGAAGTGCCGATTGACAACCAGGAGCAGAAACTCATCCTTCACAATATGATTTCCGCGTCTGAATCTGTTTTTGCTTCTTTCTCCATGGAGTAGTTCTCCCATTCATCTGGGTATGGAGAACCCTAGATTTGTATGTTAGGTATGATTGTATGAACCCAAGTACAAATTTCATGAGTTGATTATATTCGATTGAGGCTTGAATGATTGAATGACTTGAATCCTGATCAAATTCCTGTTGTTTCTGCTTTAACCTAGAATGAGAATATCTGCCTAGGTTGATAGAGCACCCTTAATTGAAGGGGGCGAATTGGTGACTTTAGTCGAGGAGCCAATTCGCTATTCTGTACCGAATTCAATTAGGTAGTGGAGGTTTGGTTCGTTAGGGCCTCAATCTGTTTACTCCGGTGGAGGTTAGTCGCCCGCTGGAAACTCAGATTGAGAGGGTCTGAAGACCTTTAGTCGAGACTTCAGGCTGTTTAAGAACCTTCCGCAGTATAACTTTCATGGAAATTGAACTTGGTAAATTGCAATCCGGCTTAACTGCAGTCTAGGGGGAACCATATCCGGGTGACCTCTCTTGACGTGAAAACAACCGTTTAACTTGCTTTATTTGTTTGTTAATTTGGACTTGCACTAAAGTTTCACTGCTAGATAACAAGAATTCACCGAGTAGTCATCAAATCTAGGGCCCGGGTTGACATTAAAACCCAAACCCGCTATAATACGCTTTAGGAAGTGGTTTCACTTGGCCATTTTCTATAGTGACAGTAGGAGTGAGTCAGTACCCTAAAGTGAAAGCAATACCACCTATGAGGGTGAAATGTGGCGATCTCTCGGGTGAAAATTTCTTGGACGGGGAAACTGTACGAGGAATTTCAGGCAAGGTCAAAGAACAATAGAAGAGATCGTCCGAGAACTCCCAAGTTAAACGGTGCTAAGGAAGCCACAACAACATTGAAGTTGCAGGGAATGGAGAGAAGGATTTTAGGTCATGTCGTATAAGTTAAAGGAAATAAAAATCCGCGAAGTGAAAAGGATTACCACAAGCGACGCTTAGGGTAATCATAGTGGACAAATTTCGAGGGCAAAATTTCTATAAGTGGAGAGGAAATGTGATACCTCGACTTTGATAGGTTCAACATCAAGTACTGAATCAGTTGGACCAAATAAATTGAGCCGAAATTGTGTCCCATCACACCCTGGGCCCAAGTTGGAAAATTCTGAAAAGGGCAATGAGTCACTCAAACCTATGCGATGCTACCAAGCTAGATGAGAATATATGTTATGGTCAAGAGTACATATAAGAACTATCATAAGCTATTCAAGACAAAGTAAGGGCACGCCATTGAAGTTCATATAGAAAGAGTGAAACCTTGAGCCAAAGAAGCACGAGAATGAAGAGTATGAAAGGATGAACCCAATCAAATTTCGGGGACTAAATTTTTATAAGGGTGGAGGAAATGTTACACCCCGCTCTTCCCAAAAGTCAAAATGAATATTATACCCTTGGGTCAAGTTCTACCGTATTGTCGATGAGGATTAAAAATGTGAACTAATTGTTCAAACGATGTCGAGTTTCGACATGAAGTGAGAAAATTATGGACGTTAACTGAATTTCGGATTATACTCACCCGTACTTAGGAAATTCTCAGAATAACCCCGAGGAAATTAAACCTAATACCTCAAACTAATTAAAACTCTCGTTGGTAACCTCGCACTGCCCCAACCCAAACTTAATAAAACCCCTCCCAAAAAGACAAAACAGGGCGGCTCTTGGCCGAAAGAAAGAAAACGAGGAACTCATTGGGCCAGAAGAAAAAGCTTTCGTCCCAATATATATACATGATGGAGATGAGAGTGAGGAGCAGAGGCGGTCACAGTTGGACCTTTGGAATACCGTCACCTCGGAGAGGAATCGATGGAGGGAGGGAGATATAGCCATCGGGCCACGATCCATGGAACAGCAGCGGCCACAAGAAACCCACAATTCCATCTGGATCCTCCCTTCTCGAAATCCTCGGAACCACCAAGGAAGTGAAGTGACGGAAAGCCACTCGTGACGATCACGTCGCGACCTGTTATGCCTTGTCGGTGCCCAGCAGTGGATGAGCATAAAAGAAAGTCTGGGAGCCAAGAAATTTTCGACGTTCAGATATTGACAAGGATGGGACGTAGCAGTAAGAGCTCGAACGGAATTGACCTTCGTTCATGGATCTAAGCCAAGGTGAGTAGATAACCAGCCATTATACTTATATCGTAAGATTGAGATGCATCTAGTAGTTCGATTCTGGAAATTAGTGTCGTGTTGCCTACTGTTTCCAAAGGAAATCAAGGGTTGTAGGTTGGTGAGTTTAAATTATCATCCATCCCTCTGTTCGTTATCGCATTCTCGAGCTTATAATATTTCAGTTGCCAATCGTCAATCACATGAGCTTCTCCCACTTATATCGCTCACTCTCCACTCTAAGTGAAAGACCATTCATCCCGTCGGCCGCTGATGCATCGCCTCTGTAAGTTCTTTGTCCTCTTTTGCCTCAATTAATGAAGCTCTTCCTGTGGTAGTGTGGTTTGGATTTCGAGTATGTTGTTGGCCTTTCATATGCGCAAGTTTGAGCCATGGCTGGTGGTGGTAAACCACCATTCCTTAAGGTTAAAAATATTTTGAGAGCAAAGTCTTATGACACTTTATTTATAGTGTTTATCACTCTTATATTTGATACATTTTCTCCTTTTATTTAGTAGTTTTTATTATATTTCATATGAAATTCATAACTATTTGGATAATGAGCATATGATAAACCTTGAGTGTGTTTTTGTACTATGTGATTTCTTTTAGTGTTGTTTTTTTCCTTTTCAAGGAGATAATGCACTCAAGATAATTATGGATCACCAAGAGACCCAATGGATCAGAAGGAACAACCGTAAAAAAAGTATGTCTCTCTCTTCTCTCTCTAATGGAACTATTCTCTTAACCTTCCAACGGTTCTTTTTCCGTCCCCATTGCTGGGACTTTTCCAGCTCAATCTGAGAGCATCCAAAAGATCACAAAAGCAATGGTAAAGATTTCCCCCATATTAATGGCTTGCAAGTAGAGGGAAGAGACAGACGCGCATCATTAGTTAAAAGCCAGAAGGAGATTGGACAGCACAGGGGATGCTCTGCAATAGCTATAAGGAAAGGAGGTATTTGGAAGCGACCAGACTGTGGGAGATCGATTTTTCATTGTCAGATCAAGAAGATGAGAAGGGAGGTACGACTGAACAGGAGAGTTATGAGGGTGCAGTCTGTAATCTATAGTACCTGTTTAGGGCAGAGTGGAGAGAACATTGAGCCACGAGCCGTTGGTGAGGATGAAGAAAAGCAGAGCAGGGAAAGATTTAGTCAACATAGGTATTATGAGGGTGTTGAAAAGAAAGATTGCTACCAAGATTCATGGGGATTATTGCTATCTCACATAGAGGTAGAGCCTTTAAGAAGGATGAGAGCAGCAGAAGGGAAATCTCAGGCTTTAATCTCGCAAGAAGAAACCCCTTTCTCCTCTTACAAACTCTGCCCACTCCTAAAAGCCTTCCAACTCCCAGCTTCCACGAAAAACAGAGCACAAGAATATCATCTCAATAGGGACATTCTACATCAGTAAATTCATTGATATGGACAGAGCCAGCCTCACTTTCAATGGATACAGAAGATTCATCAGGATGTTGGCTGAGATTGAGGTTAGTGAACCAATCCCGACGGGATTCGATTTTCCCTTCACGGATGAAGCAACGGGTCGAGAGTATTCCGAAGAAATAACTTTCAAATATGAAAGACTTGTCGAGTTATGCTACTTCATTGGGAGAATCGGCCACAACTGGCCAACATGTACAAGAATGAAAGAAGAAAGGAAGAAGGGAGGTCATGTTAAGCTATCGGATATCTACACATCTGAGCTGAAGGTGGGGATTGATTCTCCCTACAAGTCGAGTGGTAGCAAAAGCCGCATCGAAGAGGAAGAACCATGGTGTCCATCCACCGACCCTGAATCTTGGAGGGACCACTACTGCTCGGGAGGCTTAACTTATGGCAGGGATGGGATGGTGGCGGCAGAGATCACGTCGGCGGGAGGGGAAGATGAAGGCCACCCTCAAATCCCACCGGGCTTCACTGTGCGCCGACTGGAGGAGGAAGCAAGGGCTGAAGAAGGGAGTTATCATGGGAGGATGAAGGGGAAATACATAATGGATATGGGGGCAAAATATTTGTCGAATGATTTGGAGGAAGCGGCGGCTGCTTTTGCAGGGGAGATTGAGGCTCGAGGGAGGGGAAGAGGCGCAGCGGCAGTCAGAGAGGAGATTGTAGATGGGCACCCAACTCTCACTTGGGCCTTGCAACCCCATCTCACAGGCCCGCCAAAATAGTGAAATTGAGCCCAGGCCTTCCAACCTTCAGTTCTAGAGCCCATACCAACATATTCAAGGAGAGCTGGAGGGAGAAGTGGACCTCTCTATCCTAAGGCCAGGAGAGGCTGACCAGGGAGTTAATGAAGGGGCTTGTTTTATTTGAGCCCATCGAGTTCTGTGTTTGCAGGAGGAGTGAAAGGAAGAAGTAAGAAGAAGAAACACCACATGAACAAAGCTCAATCGACAAGTGAAGGCATAGGGGATGGAGAAGAAAGTGACACAAGGGCAGCGGTGGTTCGCCAAAAGCCACCTCATGGTCCATGAGTATTGTAAGTTTGAACTGTAGGGGATTTGGCCAAAACCTTACAAGAAGTTATGCTAAGCATCTTATTCGACGTCATGGCCCTTCTATTGTCTTCCTAACGAAAACTAGCAACAACGAAGAATTCATGGAAGAACATAGAAGAATTCTTAAAGTTTTCCCCAATAAAGAGTATGTAGAACTGGTCAACTCTTCTAGGGGCTTCGCTTTATGGTGGAAGGAGGGTATTAGTATTAATGTACTTAGTAGTGATAAGTATTAAAGTATTATATGGATGTTAGCATTGACATGGGGAAGAAGTTCTTTTGTACATTTGTCCATGCCCCAACTACTGTTGTTGGTATAAGGGAGTTTTGAGAGCACTTGAGCTCTCTTCGGCGTAGTAGAGATGATAGCTGGGTCATAGTTGGGGATTTTAATGCTGTTATTTATGAATATGAAAAGAAAGGGAGGTGCCCTCATAGGTACGAGAAAGTGAAACCTTTCAAAAGGTTCATTTTTGACAATGCCCTCATCGACCTTGGATTCAAAGGCAACCCTTTCACTTGGTCCAATAGGCTCTCTAGTCCAAATTTGGTTAGAGTTAGATTGGACCAGGTGTTGTGCTCGCCATTTTGGAGATTGATGTTTGGAGAAGCGGTTGTATTCCGTGAAAAGATGGTGGCTTCTGACCATTGCTCAATTAGAATTGATTTCCACTATTAAGGGAACAGAAGAAGAAGAAGAAGAACACCATTCAGGGTGGATGAAAGATGACTAGAAAAAGAGGAATGCAAGGAGATTGTTTGCAGGGAATGGGATCCAGGAGGACTATCTAGCAATCAGCTAAACAAATGCGAGAGAGAAAAGGCAGGGGCGAAAGACTTCCATAAGAATAGTATTCTTAGGGAGAGTGAAATTGTGTCCAGACTTGAGATTCTCCATCAACCTCCACGTATTCTAGAGAATGTGGAGGAGGAGAAGAGTCTAACATCAGAATTGACCAGAATTTGGCTTGAGGAGGAAGCATTTTTGAGTCAGTGCTCTAGAGTTATTTGGCTTCAAAAGGCGATTGACTCGCTACGACACAACACCTGACAAAGGCCAAGTGTAACCAATGAAAGGGACTGCAGTATAGTGGCTCAAGTGATAAATATCGAATCCACGGGTCTCTAGAGTTACTATTACTCAGCTTCAGTTTATTATTTAGCAAACCAAATTAAGATGAAAGAACTAAAACTACTCTAGCAAACTACAGTTAAAGTTAATCTAATTACAGGTTGGGAACTCACTTAGGTATGATTCCCCCTAGCCACTAGCCAGATTAATGATTGATGATCTCTAACCTGTTTCACTTTCATTCACAATGCGGAGAATCCTTGACTAGACCTTGAGTCTCGACTAAAGGAACAAGGCCCTCTTGAGTCAATTGCCTAGAGGGACGTATCCTTCTCTAGAACAACTGATCAAGGCGTTCTGAACTAGACTCCCTCTATCGAAAGAGGTTCTCAATCGATACAAAGCAGTGAATCAACCCTCGACTAAAGCAATCGATCCACTACTATCAATCTATGGTGCTCTATTGACCTAATCAGGTATTCCCTCTCATAGAATCAAAGCAGAATCAATAATCTCGACTAAAGCAGAATTGAATCATGAAAACATGCATAGATTGAATATGAACTCAAGATTATCCAGTCAGAGTACTCATACAATCATCCAATCAAACAAACATAGCTAGGGTTCCTCAAAACCTAAGTGAAGGGAAGTTACTCCATAGAGAAGAGAGAGACTGCAGTAAGAATCTTCAGATGATCAGTCTTCAAGTTCGGGCTTGTTCCTCGAGCTTCCAAGGCGAAGAAATCCTCCTTCTCTACTCCAAGAATGCCCTCAAATCGCCCTCTCTCTCTTTGGTTCGTCCCTTGGGTGTTTGGGATCCAAAAACCCAGCTCTCCTCTTCTTTGGTTCGGAATTTGGCTTAAAACCAGGAAATCCCGACTCGCACGGCCAGGGTGCACGGCCGTGCATATCACCATTCTGGCCGTGCAACTCAAAACGCAGTCGAACTTCAGCCCTCTCGCACGGCCAGGGTGCACGGCCGTGCGAGCTTCAGGGGTTGCCCGTGCGTGTCCTCGGCATAAGGCGCACGGCCATATTGCTCACGTGCACGGCCGTGCAGCCTCCCTGGTCTGCCCGTGCAGCTTGCTCAGCCTCTGTTTAATGCTTCGTTTCTCCCTCGTCCGGACTCCGAATCAATCGCCGTTTGATCCCAGACGCTCGTAGTCTCGTCCTCTTTCATTTCATAACAAGCTTGCATGATTCTTTGTCCATAAAGTGAGGTAGAAATCCATTCTTCTTCAGGTCATGCCCGAGTTTCTTCTCTCGAATCGTCAATTGATCTCTGATTGACTTGAAACTTGCCCCTATGCTTCACTTTATGTGCTAGGACCTGAAATGGGACAAAGGAATACAACCTAGCATAAAATAGGCCAAAGACGCAATAATTCAAGCTCAAACAATCAAGAAACAAAGGGGAAAACATGTGCAAATACCGAGTCATCAGCGATCAAACACTTCCCTCTTCCATTCTATCACTATTCACATAAAGCATAGAAACAAAATCCTTCGCCTTAAAGATGAGATTGGGAATTTGGTTGAAGATGAGGCAGGGCTGAAGGGTATGTCAGTAGGGTTTTTCAAAGAGCTTTTAAAGGCTAGAAATACCACTGTGTTTACCCACCTCCTTCAGGGGTTCCCACCAATGGTAACAAAAGAGATGAATGAGGACCTGTGTGCGGGAGTGACCAGTGAGGAGATCAGGAGAGCATTTTTCTCTCTCGGAGCAAGAAAGGCATCGGGGTCAGACGAGTTCTCGGGTAAATTTTACAAAAGATACTGGGATATTGTTGGTGAAACCCTCTGCAGAGAAGTAAAGGATTTCTTGGAATCGTCTATAATTCCTGGAGGGTGGAATGATACGCACATTGTGATGGTACCAAAGGTGAACCATCTGGAGACAATAGGCCAATTTCGACCCATCAGTTGCTGCAATTTCATGTACAAAATCATCTAAAAGATTATGGCTACCCGAATGAAGAAATCGACTCTCTATTTGGTCTTAGAGCTTCATACATCATTCATAGGCGGTTGCCTCATCCAAGATAATATCATTATCGTTCATGAAGTTCTACACCATTTCAAGAATCACAAACTAGGCAACATAAGGGATATGATGCTGAAGCTGGATATGAAAAAGGCTTATGACATGGTTGAGTGGGAGTGTCTAGAGACTCTCCTAAGGCAATATGGGTTCAATGAGAGATGGTGCAAATGGGTCAGCGCTTGTATCCGTACGGTCAGTTTCTCAGTATTGTTCAACGGATAAGCCTCAGAGAGCTTTTGTCCTTCGAGAGGCATTAGACAAGAAGACCCACTTTCCCCTTTTCTTTTCATCCTTATGTCTAATGCTCTCACATTCCTGGTTGACAAAGCAGTGATGGAATAATGGATTAAGGGAATTAAGCTCAACTCGAGATGCTGTACTCTCACTCACTGTCTTTTTGCGGATGACACAGTCATATTTGGGAAAGCTAACATCCAAGAGGCTGGAAGAATTTTGGAGGTCATCAATGACTATGGGGCAATCACTGGTCAAGAAGTCAACATACACAAATCCTTTATTTTTTCTGCGCGAATGTTCCAGCTGAAGAGAAGAATGATATCATCAATCACATTGGATTTGCATCCTCCAACTTCCATTCAAAATATCTAGGAGTCCCGACAGAATGGGAAAATTCAAAGAAGGAAACGTTCTACTTCCTTATCCGAAGGATGGAAAAGATGGGGGAAGCATGGAAGAGCCTACTTCTTTCACATGGAGGAAAGGAAGTCCTTCTCAAGTCGGTTATTCAGGCTATCCCTTCTTTCATCATGTGACTCTTCCTTCTACCAGAGTCCCTAACAAAGAAAATGGATTCTCTTCTTAGCAATTTTTTCTGGTCAGGGTCGATGCAAGAAAGAAATCTTCTCTGGTGTAGGAAGGATGTTCTTTGTACCCCAAAATCAAAGGGAGGGTTGGGTTTCTGAAGCTTTAGAGATTTCAATCTGGCCCTGCTTGCCAAACAAGCCTGGAGGCTTATGAACAACACTGATTCACTTTAGAGTCATCTCATTAAAGGACTATACTTCCCTAGATGCAACTTTCTTTTGGCTAAAAAAGGAAGCAAACCATCATGGATCTGGGCGAGTCTATGGGAGTCCAAGAAAGTCATTGATCTATGAGCTGTTAAAGTGATTGGATCGGGTGATGATACATGGATTGATCAAGATCCTTGGGTTCCCTTCCTTCCTAAGGAGCGCATTTAGAGTGGTCCACAGAAACACTCAAGAGTCAGTACTTGGATTGATCCGGAAGCAGAAAGTGGAATGATGATTTGATCCAGGGACAGGTTTCTTCTCCAAAAAGGGATGCTATTTTGAGAGTTCTGATTGGGGAGGAGGACGCCAAGGACTTTTGGGCGTGGAGATTTAATGAAGATGGAAAGTTTACTGTTAAGACAGTGTATCATGCGGTTCACTAGTCAGTAACGGATTCTCAAACGATGGACAATGTGGAGAAATGGAAATGGATGTGGAGTCTGAATATCCTGCCTAAGCTCAAGTTCTTTGTCTAGAGATGTGGCAGGAACGGTCTGGCAACAAAAGAGAGACTCATGCATAGGAAATGATCCCCTAATGCTACATGCCAAGTGTGCCAATGGCCGATTGAGTCCCTCTTCCACTGCCTCTTTCATTGTCCCCATGCAAGGGAAGCATGGGAAGTGATCTTCCCAAACCTCCCTCTGCCAGCTCAGTATAC